CACCAGACCATATGAATAACAAATTCTCAATTGATAATTAATCATTATTTATGCGCAAAATATTGTTTTATTTGTGAACATAGCCGTTTGATGAAGGCTTTAAGACCAAGCGGAATCCTCTGCTGGCTGCTCCGAGCAGGACTCGAGCATACGTCCGCGATTTGATTTCGGCAAATCAGTTTGGGCGAATGCAATTTATTGATCATGAGCCCAAAATTTAGCAAGGCAGGAAAACATTTAATCTACCTGAGGGGAGATGTCTTTCACTATTGTAAGTTAAGGCTGTTAAATAGAGAATAAAATATATAAAAAAAAATTTAACTTCTAGCGCATTCTTAAACTTGGACCTCATTTTATTGAAGTAGAAATCCAAGCACCAGAAGCAGCCCACACTCAGCCCATAAGTTTTCTTTAATTGAAAAAGATGCATTTTCATTCATTCATAGGCTATATGGTTGCAATAATAGCCATTTTAGTTCAAAAAATGTAAGTGCATAGACGTTTCATAGACGTTCAGTTGCTTGTATGACATTAAAATTCTTTTTAGAATATAGGTTAAGCAAATCAAACGTGATTATTTCTGAGAATTTTTTAACTGCAGGCAGACATTATGGTACAGAAGGCCTACAAATATTTTGTTGGAGATATGCAAGCAAAAAAATAATAGATTAAAAAAATGTATAATAGAAAGTGCAAAGGCAGCGCTGAAAAGGCCAGTAAAATAATAATAATAATAAAAAACAAGCTGTAGAAAAATATAATGAATTATAAGTCTGTAGAGAACAGTGCACTATTGCAGACTTATATCCTACTGAAGTTTTAATTACATTATTGTAATAGCTATAGTCAGTCGTGAACTAAAGTGGGCCGCTCTAAGGCATGAAACTCCAGGGCTGAAAATGACTCCCACTCCGGCCCTGGTTGAATGGAATTTAATTGAATTAAAGTTGAATAAACTTCAACTTTACTGTTCAGTGCACTGATGTCAGACTCATTTTGGATAATAAAATGTCCTGCCTCCATTACGTATCTTTGTCACGTCATTATAAGTGTTTGATCACCACATTTGAGTGATCATTGCAAAAAATGTGTTTATGTATACATATTCTGTTTATGTATATACTGTATTCTATATATAGTACCAGTCAAATGTTTGGACCCTCGAATGGGAAAGTGTCCAAACTTTTGATTGGTACTGTACTATAATATACAAAAAGAATATTGTATTTGTATATTGTAAGAATATTTTTTTTTTTACTCCCTAATATCGGTATCGGCCCCGAAAAACCCATATTGGTCGGGCTCTAATTATGACTACGGGAGATTCAAACAAAATCAAAAGTATAGCAGAATGTAAATTGTCTGACCTCAGTGAGCGTTCCACAGACGGTGCACTTTGTTTTGAGCTGGTTCTTCTGAGGATTCTGTTTGTTTTCATAAGCTGCCAAGCAGCCAGTGCTACAGAACTCCTGAAATGATTCACTGGAGTCCACCTGGGCCACTATGGTGCCTCCTTTCATATTGGTAATGTCTCTGGGAGAAAACAAAAGAGAGAACGTTTAAATGAGAAAAAAAAAACAAAACTAATGAGTTTGTACAAACACGAGTGGTTAAGTTGGCACTTTCAGACATGAGATTACGCTCTCAAACTCATTTTAAAAGTCGTACTTCTTGCACATGGTGCAGCTCTTCTTGGGAGCGGGCTTGTGGGAGAAGGCAGACAGGCAGGTTGTCGAACAGAAGAGGTGGGACGAGCCCTTGCGCTGGTACGCAGTCTGGCCTTTCTTCAAAGGCTTCTTACAGTTGGCGCATGTGACTTTCATGGTGCGCTGCGGCTGCTGGGATCCTGAGGACGACTGGCAGGGTGGTTTGGGCAGAGGAGCTGCAGGAGACGGAGAGTCCACTCCAGGCTGCTTCTGGTTACGGGGAAAAGAGGCCGACTGGGAGATCCATGAATCTAAAGAAGCAAAAAAGGATTTAAATCTCATGTTATGACAAGACCACCGCAAAACCTTCTGTTTTGTGAATCTTGGTAACAAAGAATACAACCATAAACTACTGTAAAATAAGCACCTGAATGAACTTTCTATTTTCTAAATGCATATTACAGATTTTATTGTGAACAATTCATCAGTGTATGTTTCATTTCTATTTTTTTTTTTTCTGACCTGAATGTTTAATCAAAAAGTCATAACTGGACCTTCCTTTGAAAACGAAAGACTTCTCTTCTGATCATGCAGGACTTCTCCAATCATTTAGCATTCTTAAACCCACCCCTACAAGCTTGTGCTCATCTGCATCCACTTTTAAATGCAACACCATCTCAAAAACCAATCAACAACCGACGTATAGGACCAAGTACCTGTCCCATCTTTTTCCTTATTTAATAAACAGTTACACTCTAGATGTATGTCACAAGACGAAAGAAAAGATCGGTCACTGCTTCTGTAACATTTGTGATTTTAAACAACAAAAACAACAGATGCAGAGCCAGAAGTCTGTCAGTGTACCATCTTTCCTACTGTTTCCTACTAAACTCTTCATCTTTGCACTACATGCATTATGGATAATGGTGCACTGCTTTTGGAAAATGAAACCTCTAATACAGATATGGTATTGTTCTGTCTGTACTATAGGGCCCTATGATTTCAGCGATGCGGAAAACGCAGATGGAATCACAGAATCCAGTCATAATGGAATTTACTGTATAATGCCGAATGTCATAAATTTGCCAAATTTTGGAATGATACATCAAAAGTAGGTCAGTACACTTAAATTAAAACATGACATGGACTAGTCTCTGTGAATATTAAGCTGCAAAAATACAATTTTAATATGAATCCTGCATGTTCTGCGAGTCTCTGTGTGAATGAATGATGCAGACGCACAGGTTTCGTTTACTACACTGAAGCATGCGTGACGCTCGCGGTGATTTCAGCGTCTGCCTCCTCAATATACAAGTACATGTACTAGGGATGTGCGGGTCTAGTCGACTAAACGGTACAGCTCCTACTAGTCGACACCGAAAACAATAGTCGATTACACGACAGAAAAAAAAAAGAAAAACAACAACAGGATTTTATCATTCACATTACCATCATTTTAACATTGCATTTAAAACATTTTAAATAACAAGTTAAAATAAAACGTTTGAAAAATAATACATTATTTGTAAAAGTTTATCTGGGCGGAAACTACATTTTTACCTCAGACCTCACATGCGTTTTCTTCGTGTCAGTTGCGGCGAGTTCAAAAATGACCATGCAAAAGACGAGAAGGTGTGGGATTATTTTGAATTAGAAGGAAACTGAAAAGTTTTGTGTAAACTGTATAATGTCAAATACAATAACTCTACTGGAGCGATGCGTAATCATATTCAATACAAGCACGTAGGCGTTAGCTTAGAGGCTGGCCAAAGCCAGCAAATGTCAATCACATCATTCACTACAACCCGTCGGTGCTGCGATCCCATCTGCGCCCTCTATTCCTGTAACGAACACCCACTTCGGCGGTGGTGTGGGATGTCCAGGCGCTTTCTGGCTTGCTTTTCGTTATCTCTGCGTGCCTGCGACTTCAGTTCTTGCCGAGCGCGTTTTTTCAAGTGCAGGAATTTTATTGTTAATCGCCTCAGGTCCCGTCTTTCACCAGACCACGTTGATAATATTGATTTTCCATTGTTCTGCATTTCCCCAGCTGATTTGAATAAATAAGCTATGCTTTGACTGACGTTGAGTGTATGCTCTTCTTTAATTTCTTTTTAACGACCACCTAAAATGAAATGATGATAATGTGAGGCAAGTGTGCGGCAAGCGGAATTCATTGAGGGATTTGACAGTGTGATTCATAGATTAAGTATTTCAAATATAGGCTATTATATACGCTATGCTACACGCACGCACAGAGGGAATGTGAGGCAAGTGTGTGGCAAGCGGAATTCATTGAGGGATTTGACAGTGTGATTCATAGATTAAGTATTTCAAATATAGGCTATTATATAGGCTATTCTACACGCACGCACAGAGGGTTTTTCTTACCATCTTCTGGGGGTTTCTTGATTTTAGACTAGTCGACGAGTCGGATACAAAACATTCATTTAAGCGACAGTCAAATTAGTCGTCGCGCACATCCCCAACATGTACACAATCTCTAGATCTACTCTGAGAGTTACTTCATGAGCATTTTACTATTTCTTTAGAGTAAAACTATCAAACAACTATCGTCATATCAAACAAAAAGAAAGCTCTTCACAGCAACCCGTCAAAATAAAAGTTTGAGAGAAATATTACTTAATGTCATGATACTCCTACTACTACTACTAAAATTATTATTAAAATATTATTTTTAAAGGAATATTTACCAGAATTTATTTAGCAGAATAATAAAACATTTCATAGGCCCTAAATTTAATTTTTGTTAATCTTTTAATCAACTGTTGTTTAATATAGTAAGTTTCATGATTTTAATTAATTAGACATACTTTTTGATTACTAAAATGTAATTTACCCATTAAAACAGTCTAGAAAAATTTAAAAGGAAAAAAAAATGAAATGCTGAAAAATTAAAACAGAAAAAATGGAATTTGTGGAAAAATAATACGGATTTCATAGGGCTCTAGTACTAGTGAAGCAAACAATGCAAGCCGTGTGTACATGTATTTTGTGTAAAGGATGACACAGCAGATACATGAGGATGAATTACCAGATCTTTGGTGTGTGCCCGTTTCTCCATTCTGCACAGGCTGGCTCGCAGCACCGATGCGTCCCGGGTTGAACATGGGTGAAGGTCTGCTGGCTGTACCCTGGTTCTGCTGGGCCTCTGGGTTCAGGCTGAACGCACTGCTGATCTGCAGACCATTCTCAGCCCCCTCCAATCCATCCAACCGTGTGGCCGCTGGACCACCCTCGCCTTTCAGCGACGTCACGTTCGTGATCATGAGGTTTATATCCTCTTGAGCGCACAGCGCCAGTGGCGTTGCTGTTGACGTTGCCATGGCAACCGCCGAAGAGTCCGTTCCCAGCGTGGTTACGCTAGTAATTTTGATTTCAGAGTCAGGCTCCGTACTGCTCAGGGCATCCTCGGCCTCAGGGGGCGGCAGCGAGGAAGAGGCAGCCCCCTTGAGCTCCGAATCCTCCTCGTCGTCAATAACGATTGGCTCGCTCTGGCTTTTGGCTGTTGTGGACGCGGCTGTGCTGGTGGTAGCTGCAGAGGCGGGAGGACTGGGCGCCTTGGAGGAAGCTGTTGCCGTGGTAGCCGACTCCGCACAGTCTTTGGCAGCAGCGAGGGTCTCTGCAGGTGTGGGACTGGGGGGCTGAGAGTGAGCAGGAGGCTCTTCCACCAATACTACATCATCATCATTGTCTTCTGAGGCCTTGGGCAGGTCTGGTGCTGTCTGTGGCTCATCTGCAGATGGAGTCTGCTCTGTTCTGGGTGTGGTTTCCATATGTCTTTCCCCCTCCTCCTCCCCTGTGACTGTACCTGCCTCTTCAACATCTGCCCTGGCTTCCAAATCTCCATCCATCGCTTAGGCAACAACCTGTTGACACAAACACAATGAGGTCAACAATTACCTGAGGAAGCAAAAAAAGAGCCACGAATAATGATGAATAGAAAATAAAATTGGCTTGCTGATCAATAATCCCTTTATTTCGTAAAGATCCTAAACTGATTAACAAAATATGACAAATCCGGCTAGACTGCCAAAATTGAACAAGTCAGTCTCATTTTAATAATGACAGATGTCAATATTTTTTCAAGGGATTATTACAAGATCCAATTACAACTAAGGATGTCTAAAAATAAGTGGTGAAGTTCAAATTCTAAATGTAAAAATGTGAAAACAATGTGGAACTTCAAATTCTGAAATGCAATAAAGTGAAAATCATTTGGAACTCTAGAACTCCAATTTATGAAAAACCAAGTGTAAAATGATTTGGAACTATAGATTTGGAGTTTTAAATTCCAAAATGCAAGAAAGTGAATAAGATTTGGAACATAAAATTATTATGATTATTTAAGAACTTCAAATTATGGAAAAACAAGAAAGTAAAAATTCTGAAATGCAAGACAGTGAAAAAGATTTATTATCATTATTAATATTATTATTATTGGTTTTTAAAACTTCAAATTATGATCTCGAGTCACCAAGTATCCATGACATCATCATAAAATGATCATCACTAAGCAACCAAAATTATTCACAGGCCAGTAAATGAACAGTAACTCTCATATCATTAACACATGCCCCGTTTAGGCTTTTGATACAGAGCTCAACAAACACCATTTGACCATATTTGTTGTCATATAAAAATTAAATCAATGCCAATCAACAAATGATCTCGAGTCACCAAGTATCCATGACACCATCATAAAATGATCATCACTAAGCAACCAAAATTATTCACAGGCCAATAAATGAACAGTAACTCTCATATCATTAACACATGCCCCGTTTAGGCTTTTGATACAGAGCTCAACAAACACCATTTGACCATATTTGTTGTCATATAAAAATTAAATCAATGCCAATCAACAAGTCTTTTAAAGTACAAACAAAAAAATTTAAAAAGAAACATACTGACATCGAATCTTTTGGTGTCTCTGAAGAAAGTGATGACAAATGTAGATTGCAACAGTTTAGTCTCCATAATGCACAGTAGAACACAAGAATCAATGTGCTACAACTTTGCATTTGGAAATCTGTATCTGCTATGACAGTCCATCCATTGTAAAGACTTTTGGTTGATCTTTAATACATCTGGACTGCAATGCAGAGCTTGGAGTGTATCTCCCTCCATTCCCAGGCTTTGACACTGAATGCTTCGTTTCAGCTGAGATCCCAATGTTGATGCAATGCCGGCACAGACTCCTTATGGAGACAACGCCAAGCAGCACATACAAAAACACTGCTCAAATTGATGTGACACAAACAAGTTAGCATTTTGAATCTGTGGGCTTTCCCTGCAGGCTGATGTCATGATAAGGATGCTGGAGAGAGGAAAGTATATGCAGTGTTACTGATCCACCTCTCAGACGTGATATAATCACATGCACATGCGCCATGCCAGTGCCAAGTCTGCATTCTGAGCAACAACGCAACTGTTTTCCAAAGGTCCCCACTAAAACGCATCACAGTTGCATGGCCCCATAAAGCTGCACTTCTCTAGCACCAATTGTGTCAATTATCAACATAATCAGTCATTTCTGGGCCTATTCCTACCATTCACCCCTGGGCCGTGCCCTTGACTCCGGACCCTCCGTATCCACACACACACACCCGACCGCGATCCGTGCGCTGTCAAGGCAACCGGATGACGACGTCAACACGCTGTGCTTCATAGGCTTTCATTATATTCAGGAAACTCAAGGGCCAACGGGTCCGCAAACTTGCTAGGAGAGACCCCCAGGCGGGAGGAGCCTCGCAATCTACCCCAGCTGTCCCTTTTCACGCAAAACCCCCGGCCCATGTGTCGCTTGTGCTCCCACCCCCGGCCTCTCTGGCGCATGCAGCCATTGGATTAGCGGCGAACTGAAGGGAGGAGAGCCTCCGAGACTGTGCCATTGTTATTGTAGAGAAAAAAATTTGTCAGAAGTAGTTATAGGCAAATAATCCCCGCGAGAAAACTGGAGGGAAACTAAATTTGAATTTCATGTATTCGAATTCTTTGAATAACAACACATATAGAAGAATACTGTGACCAATTTCAACACACTTCTAGCACATTAATACAGAAAATACGTCTGTTTTTGTCTATACTTATGACTCCCTTTCGGATTTCTACGAGAACTGAGTTTTCTTGCTGGTATTACACTCGAGTGAAGGTTTAATTGAAGTTAGCCAAGAGCGTTTACCCCTGGCAATCAAAAGGCAATACATGTGGTGCCCTGTGGGGGCGCTGCACTGTTAAGAAACATCAACTATAACGCCTATAGGTGACTAGCCACAAATATTTCACTGCATATTCCAAGTTTGTCCATTTAACTAGGGGCTAACAGCACATCTAGTATTCAGCTACAAAAACAAGCGATATTTACTAATTGGTAAATCACTTGCCCCCTTCAGTCAGCGGGTAGCACTGCCTCATGTCCGCCATTAGAGAGCGAGCGAAACAATGCGCGACAGCATAGGCAATAGCACCCTGCCACGGCGGAGGAGGGAAACCTCTGGCGGGGTAAAATTGCACGTTAAATTCCCCTCGCGCACAAACACAGGTGACCCCGATGGTTTTCTCGGCTCGAGCTCCGCCGCGGACATAGTTGTGAAAACTTTGGCCAATTACGCGCAGTTCAAGCATCAAAACGCCAGAGAAATTCTTACCGGATTAGAGCTGGAGACGATAGAGCGCCACTTTTGTGCCTTGACATGAATCCTGGCGCGCATGCGTGAAAACGTACTGACGTTCCAGGCGCGTGGGAGGAGAAACGAGCTCTTCGCGCTACTCACACGGGATCGTGCGCGCGCTGGTTTTGGGAAGTCCGACTCGTTTAGAGGAATCGTTTCTTTCGAACAGTTCCTCTCGATGACTCGGTTCAAAACGATTCGGTGATTCTTTTTACGTCATGACGCAATAACGCCACCACGTGGTCCATGACAGCCCAGCGTGACAAAACGTTTCATATAAAGGCATCTTACGCTTCTGTTACGTTTTTGAATGTCAAGTGTTTTTATTCTGATTTCATGTGTTCAAGTTACGTAAATTATAGCTACGATTCAGTTCCTGAAATGTTGTCGTTTGTATGCTAAATAATGTCCATTTACAACACATTTGAACATCTTTCAAGTACGTTTTATTTCTTGCTATTAAAGTAACTTGCGGTTTATCGGTAAAATCGAAACGCTCTTATCGCTTCTTGTCTCGTTGTGAATCAGACGTGTTCAAAATAGACGGTTCTCGGTTTAACGAGTCAGTGAGTTGTTGACTCGAGAACAGATCTGACCGAATCATTGGGCTTGTTTGAGATGAGCAAATTCTGCGCAGAATCGATCACCGGTGATCACCGCGAGATGCATGCCGGTACCACTAACAAGAGAAAATGACCCTTGGGATCACCGACAACGTGTAATGTGTCCGACTTACCTCCGACTTGCTCTTAATGCTCATTGGTTCAGACACCTGTGATGCTGCGGTTCTCTTCTAAAATATTTTATTTTTTTTATCTGATTTCATGTGATTATGTATTTAAATTATGCATGAATGTTCCCAAACACTATGACAGTGCGATCTCTGTGTGAGATAATGTGATTATGTCATATTTCTATAAAAATCTAAAATACATGTTTGTATTAAAGTAAAAATGGATGATAAATACACCTTTCGTATGGAATTAAATAGCAAGCACTTTAAGTGTCTTGTTCATCATATTTATTTTCATATAAAGGTATCAGAACTGAAATTATATCATGTTTATAAGCAACACAGCACGTGAGTGAGAATAACGCGATATCTGCCTTTGATCTCGTTGGTATCTGCTCCACTTCGAGAGGGCAGAACTGTCCGTCTTGACTGCGCTTATTTCACTCCTCCCCTCACTGCAGCCGCCTACTCTCACCAACATTTCAGGCAAGGCGAGGCGCATCTCAAACAAGCCTATTCATATCCGGTTTGTGAACTGGTTCAGCTGATTCATTAAATTGAATCGACTCATGGACGCGAAAAACATTTGAGCAACGATTAGCAGGAACAGGATGACAGACCTTTACGTATCTTGATGAAGTTTTATATTATTCGATAATCTAAGTAATGTAAGATTTGTAAATTAGATTTTAAAGTTGTTTTGGTGAAAGAGAATTCGACCGATTTCATCCTAATGGAATATAAATGAACGCTTTGACAAATAATGGATATGTATATTGTGTTATAAGAAAAAAACGGTAGTATCCAGCAATACAGATTGAAAAGCAAAATTGCTAAATGCCACTGAATTTAGTTGGCTGTAATTATACACACTAAAGCAGTCTGTATTGAAATAATAAAAGTGAGAGGTACACTACAGCACGAAAACATGGGGGCGGAAATGCATTGCGCAAGAGCCAAAGTAAAAAAAAAATCTTCAAGAAATCCTTTTACGAAACATAACATACAAAAACAAACTTTTCAGCTGCTTAATAAAACAAGTGTCCTTAAAGCCCGATTAAAATAAAACACCCTCTTGCCCAGCACAAGTTGGCACTGATGGGGTCGAAGAAAGATATGAATTGAGTGACCCAGTTTGTCAATCGTGACTCGTGAAATCACGTTGTGAGACTCAATATTATTAGTATTGGTAAAAAATGATCCGTGCTTTAGAGCCGACATTATACTATGTGTGTATTAAAATTAACATTGGGTAAGACCATTAGGTCTAGTGTACAGACTTATTTTGACAAAACAGACACTAAATAGGCCTATTGTTTAACAGTTTGAGGTGATATAGGGAGTTAAACATTAATTAAATTTCAAAACTGTACGACAGATACAACAAACATATTTGATTTTGTCCAACGTTTGTATTTTTGTTTTTGAAGATATCAGTAGTTAGGTGAATCCACTCAGCTCCATTTTGTTTATCCATTCTGTTGATTTTCTGTTGAACCACTGTGCCCTTTTGGCTTGTTTTAAGACCCACTTTAAAGTCTCTGCTTCTAGAACAAGGAAAATCTTCCCCTGTGGGTACAGCAAAAATAATGTCAAGGTGTACATATTGTGATGCATGTGCCAGATATGAAACATGTACATATTTATCAAAATTATATGATTACTCAGAATAACCCAGCTTGTCTTAGTGTTTTCAGAAATGTTTGTTATATTTCCCTATATAAACTTTTGTACATGGACATTTTTTTGTCCTTAAAGCTGTTGGCTGGTAATCCAGTGTTTACTAGTTTGAAGACATCCAGTGAACTGGAAAATGTCAAAAATCCAGTTTGTCTTTTTGTTGCTGCCCTTGTAGCAGGGGTGTCCATTCCTGCAGAGTTTAGCTCCAGCCCCAAGTAAACACACCTGAAGCAGTGAATTAAGGTCTTGCTAGACATACTAGAAACTTCTAGGGAAGTATGCTGAGGCAAGTTGGAGCCAAACCCTCCAGGACTGAGTTTGGACACCCCTGCTTTACAGACTATATACTGAAGACCAGGGGCCTCCAAACACTGTCCTGCAGAGTTTGGCTCCAAACCCAATTAAACACACCTGAAGCAGCTAATCAAGGTCTTCAGACCTACTAGAAACTTCCAGGCAATTGTGTTGGAGCTGGTTGGAGCTACACATTCGGCCCCCCATGAGCAGGATTGGGCACCCCTGCTGAAGGCAGTTGTAGCACATCCATCTCTAGTGCATATGTTGGCAATGAACCATCTTTCCCATCTGAATACATTCTAACATTCATCTGAAACACAGTCTTCTTTGTTACACTGAATGTGTATATAAATTAAATCAGAGAGATGCAAGTCTCTAGTGCTGCACCAATTAAGAGAACAACTGTTTAATTATTGTTGCTATAGTAAATAGGAGAGAAGACAAAATATTGATTGTTATGGAAATATATGTAGTTTATTTACTGTAGTCAAAAGAGGAAGTGAATCAATGAGCAGTCTCTCTCACTACTAATAATATAATGACGGGACAAAGAGAGGTAGGCCATGAGCAACAGAATAAAAGAACATCACTGCGCTTCAAAGGTCTTTCAAGATGAGCCCAGCTGTACATTCCTGATCTGACTCTTAGTTCAGTCATCATTAATAACTTTACATAATGCTTGTGAAAACTACACTCGTGTAATCTGTATGATCAGTACCAGAAGATGACCTGAGCTCATTTGCTGCATGTTGAACAGTTACATAACTACACTCTAATAAGAAATTAAACTGAGACTGATGTACAACCTGCCTGACAACACATTGGTACATACATGAAAAGGGTCACGTTCCCTAATAATCAGTATTAAAAGAACCTGTTCTACTGATCACACCTACTTGGATGACTTCAATCTTCCTCCTCTCAATGCAAAAACAAATTAGCCCTTAAAATTGCTCACAATCCAAATGTATACATTCAAACATTTCTTCAACTATAATGGCTTCATTTTGTCCAATTTAGGATTCATGCCTTTAAAAAACCATCACATTCTCCGGAAACAAAATATGGAAACTTGTATTTTTAAAGCACCCACTCTGGAGTTCAAAGTCACACTTGGGTCCAGTTTTGTCACAGTCCCACGAGCACAAAGCAACAGGGAGCCAAGAAGTGCTCATTCGTTCCATCATTCACTCTGCACAAGCAATGAAGACAGAAGCACATCAGATGAGTGTGTGGTCAGGTTAAACAGAACAGAACATAAAACAAAACAGTAGGTGAATCTGGAGTGATAAATTATTCTATTTATAAGAGAAAAAAAATTAAAATAAAAGGAACACTTTACAAACAAGAGTTACAAATGACCTTCAGATACAAATCTAATTTGTCACATTTGCCGACCTTCATGTGTGATGCAGGTGCTATACAAAATCAGACCTCCGGAAACGCATTAAACACTTGCAACACTTAACCAAGCACGTATTAAAATTCACACTGAGATTTGTGACTGTTTTTTTTATTGAACTGTTAAGTACTACAGTCTTTCCCCAAAGTAAAACATAACCATTTCTAAACTGTCTCCTGCTCAGCACGTGTCAAGTGTAGGAAAAGTCTCAGTTCTTGGGGAGGCCGAGCTTCTGCAGTGACCTTTGACCTGAAAGGGAGGACTGTGGCATCACTGTAGTTGGACTCTGTATGCACAAATTAGCAGTTTAACCTGTGGAAAAAGTGAAACACATATGTCCAAATTACTACATTTTAATTAAGGGTCATTTAACATAAGGCTTGCTTAGCTCAGTTTCCACTTTTCCATGACCTTTCCAGTCTGAATTACTTAAGGATATTAAAAAATAAAAAAAAAAATAAAAAAAATGAAAGAATAATTCAGAATGGATCATTAAAAAGAACCAAACTCAAAGATTCTCTAACGAATCAGACACAATTTTTTATTCATACTGCCATGACTTTGAGGCAAAAAAATAAATAAAACAGCATTCCAGTTGCATTTTAATGGAAGTAGCATAAGATTTTTTTTCCATACTGACGTACAACTGAGGGAAACTGGTGATCAAAAAAGGAAAAAAATGTAGGGCATGACTTGGTTCTATCTGTCAGTTGTTGTTTGGATGGAGGCAGATCTGAATGCAATTAACTGGTCTAAATGATTAGAAATGTCTGTCATATCATTAATTGAAAGGTCAAGTTGCGATATTTTTATAAAGAATTACCAGGTCAAAAAATTAACATACAAGGATGAAATGTTCACAAAACGATCAATAACATGCATTTAAAAACTAGAATGTTAATTTTACGCTAACTTTAAAATTCCCTGATATTTCCAAAGAACCATGGAAACCCAGTTAGCGACAAGTAGCTCTTATTTTACAGAGCCCTATCTCAATTATTCACGCTTGCTTTGGTGTAGGGCTGAACAATTATTCAATATTAAAGGGGTCATATGATGCGATTTAAAGTTTTACTTTCTCTTTGGAGTGTTACAAGCTGTTCGTGAATAAATAAGATCCCTAAAGTTGCAAAGACTAAAGTCTCAAACCCAAAAGATATTCTTTATAAAAGTCAAGACTGGTCCATGCCCTCCTAAAACGCCTTGTTTAAACGCACCCACATGTC